GTAGGGAAAACCACCGCACCCACATTGGGGATGAAACGCATATTTGGACACCGGCGGTGCCAACTTCTTTTCAGGCTTTAAATGCGAACTTAGGCATTGGAGGGGGAAAAGCCACTGCCGAGACGGGAATATACCTCCCGATAAAAGGCAGTAGGATGGAATTAAGCTATCACGGAGCTGAAACGGTCCCTGTGCCCACCTCCCCCACCCCCCGTCGCCTTTGCAGGGGAGCTAGAGCCGAGCTGGAGCTGGGGCACTTCTCGCAGCCGGGGCGGGTTAGCTCTGCCCGGCTGCCCCCCGTGCCAGGCTTCGCCTGCTAAATAAAACGAGCCGAGCAATCAGCTTACCGGGGAGGCATCTCTCTGAGGACAGGGAAGTAAACGCGATGAGACCGAGCAGACAAAAAAAGCACAGCTCAGGCGATTTAAAGATCAATGTCAAATTGTATAATATAAAATCCTTCTGCTGGGGGAAAAAGCTTAGCGCGCTCCTCAGACCTGGCGTTTGGTCTCCTCCAGCAAAACCGCCGCAAGACAAAGCGAGGGGGGCGGATGGTGGGGACAGCCCCTGTCACATCGCAGGGGCTAGGATTTGGGGTTATTTCACCCCCGATCCGGCCCTTTTCCGGGCATGGAGGGCTGTTAATTCCCCATCATCTCCTTGCGTTTGCCCAGTGCGGGAGGAAGCTTAGTTTCCCCGGCTAGGCTGTCCCCAACCATTTCTCTTCTCCCCCCCTCTCCCCCCCCCCCCCCCCTTTTTTTTTTTTTTTTTCTCGTTCCTTTTTCCTTGTCCCTGTCCGAAAATTGGCCGCCGATAATCCCAAAAGCCTCAGCCCCTGGGAGAGGAGAAGCTGCGACGATGCCTTTTCCTTCCCTTCCCCGTGCAGCCGCATCCTCCGCCAGCCCCGGCTCCGCTACCCTCGCCTCCTCCCGGTTCCTCCCGCATCCTCCCGGTTCCTCCTGGTTCCTCCAGGCTCCCTGCCTTGCAAAGACATTACCCCCGATCCCGGGGACTCGGCTATTTTGGTTCTTGCCGAGCTGATGCTGAAATACCCGTGGCCTCGGAGATCTGCTCTGCGTAAACTGGCGGGCTTGAGACCGACACCGTCATTTCAAAGCAGATGCGAGGGTCGTTCACCAAATATTTTATTATGGTTTTAGGCTGCTTCATACAGTTTCGTCCTGCACATGCTCTACAAGTCACCTGTGCACATAGAGAACAAGCCAAAAATAATAATAATTAATAATAATAATAATAGAAAAAATCTACCATAGCAATCCCTTAAATAAGTAAATAAACATATTTTATATATATATAAAAAAAACCCTTTAAAGTAAAGCAAAACCCAACCAAAAGAACAGCGTCTTTTCAACATGAAACATCCCTGCGGGATAAGGGCAGGCGCTCAGACATTTTGAAACTTGGCATTCGGTTGTTTTGTGTTTTTTTTTCTTTTTTAACGTTTTGTGGGCTTTCTTTTATTTTATTTTAGGCATCAATTCTGCAAATCCTTCGAAATAAAGGCGACAACGATTTTTATCACGTTTTTTAATGCAGTCCGCTGCGGGGCTGGCAGGGAGGCGCGGGTGGGCGGCGTGTGGCTGGGGAGCGCCCCGTACCCCGGGTTTGGCGACGGCACCCGGGCGATTACAAGCCCCGCTGCTCCGGCCGTGTCGGCAGGCAGGGCGGGCGGGAGGGAGGGACGGAAACGCAG